AGCCAAGATTACAATAACTATTTAATAATAATAATAATAATAATAATAATAATAAAAACAAATCAGAATGTAGTTATGGCTGTTATGTTTGCTGTCTTCTAACAATAAAAGTGCTCATTATAGGCGATGCAAAAACGTGCAAAAAGGTAACACAAATACAAACATGGCCAAAGAAAGAAAAAATGCGAATAATAAAACTAAAGAAATAAAATACAAAGTATTAGTATTCCAAATCTTTTGAGCCTACACGGCTACAGAGGGGACCAAATGAAATGCCAGAAAAGCGAATAATAACAAACATTAGCTAACGCTGAACTAGTGAGTACAATTCGAACTCTTATTAGCTTGGTCACATGACTGAAAGGGAGTGAAACTAGTGACTAACGCGCAAGGAAGCGCGTGTTGCGAAGGCCTGGGCTCGCCAACAGCTACAAAATGCGTTTTTTTTAGTGCTTTATTTACCTGTACACGATATGCCATTGCCACTAAATCCTGGATTGCAATTGCAGTTGTACGATCCACTTGTATTGTTACAGTAAGCATTGAAGTTGCAGCTGTGGGCGTCGGTTGTACACTCATTGACATCTACTTGACGAAAAAGAAAACTAAGCCTGATTCAAAATACATTGAACGGTCAAAATAAAGACAATATTTTGCTGACTAAAGTACATCAAAAAGGAACTAACTGCTTAAATCATTTTGAGACAATCAATTTAAAAGGCCTTTTGCAGCTTGCCACTCAAGTGGTACAAAACTGCCACGCTGGAGAGCAAACGTCGCACGGGGGCAAAACAAACAAAAGGCTGACACCTTGCTCTCCATATGTGGCGGAGATGTACCACTAGGAACGACCAGCTAAAAGGGCCTATTACCAGGACAAATTTGTCCATTTTCAAAGAACCTTGAGTTACACAAGCAGTTTTCATCAACGTTTCAAGGTGGTGGTGATAGGGAAAGGGGGCCCTTCATACCCATTACTGCCACGAAAAGAGTAGAATGAAGAGCCCGCGATTAACTCACGAGGAACACGGGATGCCATTTCAAAATGACCGCCATCCTCTTGGTTTTTACTAAAAATCCAAATTTATCGACAGTATCGTAGAAACTTAAAGTATATTTAGAACTGGAAAGGAATCTTAATTAATAATGATTTGGAGAAACATAAACATGTAAAAACTAGCGAAATAAAGCTCCCACGTTTCGGTGGCATTTTTCCATTGTCAAGGAATGGAAATAAATGCGAGCTCCAAAAGGAGTTAAAGAACTCTGAATCTGAATGAATGAATACAATACTTGAATCCATTCCTTGATAATGGTGTCTTGACATTTCCGAAACGTTGAAACACTATTTCTTTCGTTTTTTTTTTTTACACCTTTTTGTAGAAAGAATATTAAAACTATTATGGACATAACCACGAAAAAAAAATGTAATAACACCCAATGAGTAACAATTTGACAATTACCAAGACAGGCTTGTCCATTTCCAAAGTACCCAGGACTGCAGCTACAGTTGTATGATCCCATGTTATTGTTACAAATCGCATTCGCACCACATAAATAGATGTTTGTTTCACACTCATCAATATCTGGCACAAATAAATACGTTTTAGTTAAATCATCGTTTCGATAACAACATATGCATTTAATATAACCATTAAATTAAGCACTTATAATAATGTGATAATGATGATGATGATAATCATAATAATAATAATAATGGTAATAATAATGATAATAATAATAATAATAATAATAACATATAATAAAAACGTTTTAGTTAAATCATCGTTTCGATAACAACATATGCATTTAATATAACCATTAAATTAAGCACTTATAATAATGTGATAATGATGATGATGATAATCATAATAATAATAATAATGGTAATAATAATGATAATAATAATAACATATAATAAAAACTTTATTCATAGATTAAAAAAAAAGATTATTTACAGATTCAAGAATATGAATATTAAAATATATACCCTATGTACATTCTTCTTGTGTACGAAAGAGAATTGTCGTAAAATGACTATCTAAAAACTACTAATAACAATTATAAAAAGCATCAAAAAGTTGATAAAAAATTTAAAAAAATAAAACTATCTAAAAAAAAAAATAATAACAATAATAATAATAATAATAATAATAATAATAATAATAATCTTATTATTTTTCTTAATTGCAAAAAAAACATACTTTATTAAACTCTTCTAATTATAATAATAATAATAATAAATTAAATAGAATCAATAGGACAGTTACGGATTATCAAAATTCATTGTTGGCTCCAAGGTTGAGAGGAGTAAATTCAGAGCCACAACAAACACTCTCGGACTTAGAAGGATCGGACGCTAGTCCTTATCAGGCTTTAAATATATAGTATTTCAACTAGGATAGGAGGGGGTTGGAAATTATATTAATTGAAACCTGTCGTAAATTTAAACTAGAGCAAGGTTGAATGTTATTTTTTTTTTGCCTCACCATTTTTTTTTTATTTTTGCTCGATTGAATGAATTACTCTTAACCCCTATTAGTTTGAGCAGGCAGGCAGGCTGGCTTATAAAGGATAACTTAGGCTAAAGCAATAGTCCTGCTTTTGCAGAATTTTTGCGGGATTTCATTCCTTACTACATTTGATTCAATATTCACCAGCGCATGTTTTTCCATTTCCGGTATATCCAGGTCTGCAAGTACAACTGTGTGATCCGATGGCATTTTCACACTCTGCGTGGATGGCGCATGAATGAGTGTTACTTGTACACTCGTTAACGTCTAAACAATAACAGAATAAAAGTACACTGACGTTAGGTAGTTGCTTTTTAATTTACAACTTGAATACTTGAGTTAGACTGTATACAGTAAAATTCCGAAAATAAGCCCCGGGGCTCATATTTTTCAAAGGCCCCTTTTGAGGGGCTTATCTACGGAGGAAAAACTTGCGTTTCAAAATTGACTGGGCTAGCCTTATAGCTGGAAGTAAATTTACCGTTTTTGCTATGTTTTACTTTGTATTTGAGAGAAATTTTCCAAGTACAAGCCCCCGGGGGGCTTATATTTGGAGGGGCGATTTAACGGAGGGGTTTTTGTGTTACCGGTTTTGGGGGCTTATATTTGGAGGGGCTTATACATGGAGGGGCTTATTTTCGGAATTTTATGGTATTTTCATAAAAAGCTCAATTGTCTAAAAGATCATTAAAATACACACATTCATAAGGAAATAAAGTAAGCCGAAAGTGATCGACTGATAAACCGTCTGAAAGACGAATATGCAGACAGGCGGGCATGGTCGGACAGATGGAAAAACAGGCTGTCACATACACAATAAAATATAAGTCAACTTATAATGATTACCAGTGCATATTTTTCCATTTCCAGCGTATCCGGGATTGCAGATGCAGATACTAGACTCCTCCATAGTCTTACAAACAGCATTTCTGTTACACACCTGAGTGTTTGTTGCACAGTCTTCAACATTTAACTCTGAAATAATAATAATAATAATAATAATAATAGAGGTCACGCCCCTACAGAGGGTAGAGATGGTCACAATTATAAAAGCAATTAGTTACAATTTCGAAGTTGGTTAACAAGATTCTTCACTTCTTTAAAGAAAAGATTTCTATTCTGAAATGTATCACACAATCAGTTGCTTACAGCTTATCATGATAAGGCATAAGGCTCGTTATACTCCTCCAAACCCATTTCCCCGCGTAAGTTACCCCAAATTATTAACGACCGTTCTTCTCTTTTTGACGTTTTTCTCTTTAAAGCAAAGTAAAGTACTGGAAAAGTTGAAAATTTACAGGCACATGCACGTTGCGCGTAGCACGTTGTTTTAAATATTGAAAAGTTAACTTCGTGTTTAAGCCGTAAACGTTTCCAACAGGTCCAAAAAATGGGTCGAAAAGTAATAATAATAATGATAATAATAATAATAATAATAATAATAATAATAATAAAAGGTAGTTTAAAAATAATAAATAATGATGACGATGATGGCCAATAGCTTTTTTTGTTTCAACTGAAAATGATTAGGCCATTTCCGAGTTCCTAGGTGCAAAACCTTTCTTCTGAAAATGAGTTTTATTTGCATGAGAATAAAAACTAATTTTAATATCAACCCCGAAATGGCATCCCTGCAGCAGTTCAGTTCCGCGGATTATGTTAAATGACTGGGATGATAAATTTCTCACTTCAAAACCAAACTGTTTAAGGCTTGTAAACGTCAACAAAAGACAAAACAGTTATCCCATAGCTTGCTGTCCATACTGTTCAAACATGGTCAAGAATTTGACAACATAACCTAAGAATAGTATCACTCAAAGAGTTTTGAATCATAAATTTAACATCGCTGAATAGCTTGACAAAAATTAGACTTGCAAAATCAAAAAAATAGTAATAATAATTTATCAAGACAAATGCCTCTATTATGCCCTGCAAAAAGTTGAAGATTGAATATTAAGTTTTTTTCATATATCTCACGAGATGTATGATCCTAGGAATAGCCAAGCCGGGTTCTAAAGGAAAGATTTAATGACCATGCCAAGAACTAAGGGCTAAACATGCATTCTTTTCAGGTGTTAATGCGAAAATTGCATTAATTATGCTGACATCACTTCCGCATACATTTTTATTTCAAAAAGTGTTTCAAACGTTACTGGAGACAAAGGCAATCATATTTGCAGGTAGTTACTGCATATTCTTAATTTGAAGAAGGGGTGGGTTAGTCACTGACTAGTGGCGACGAATTGTACCTACAAAAACGCCAGTCTCTGAAAATTTGTATCCGGTCTGTCTCCTATGGTTAACTTTAATTTCTCAAAAGTGTCGGATTTCCAAGCTTTTAACCATTTTACTATCTTGCAAATTACCGCGAACTATATCTCACGTATATTAGTTAGGTATAAGACTCACTTCCCATCCTACCTTGTATAGTTCCTTCTTCTGCTCCTTGTTTTGAAACAGCTGGGGTGTTTCGAGGCCACTTTATCGTGATTATGAAAACCAAACAGACTACCGCCGTCAGGAAAGTTATGACCACAGCGACAACGATCAAGAGCTGCATTCGTTGGATTTTCCGGACATCTCTTCGCGAAACATTCGACGTCTTTGGTGGCGCTTGTCTTCTATTGCTGCCATCTTGATTGTCATTTCCCATATTAACTCTTTGTACTGCAACATCAGTCCCAGACTCGTCCTCGACGACGTGTTCGTATACTTCATCGACTTTAATTCTTGTTTTGGGTTGCAGCTCGAGGTAGACTCTCTCTGGCCCTGTTGGTGTCGCATACATGGTGGTCAGCTCAATGAGTTATTTAATTTAACTCGCCTTCAAACGACTGAACACTTTCAAACCTAGTAGCAATTACGCACTCATTTCATGGTCCAACGCAATTTATTAGCCGATGCCTTATAAATAGCTTTTAAAATAAGTATGTCTGCTAAAAGAAACGTAATAAGACAATATTTTAGCACGACGATCGCGATTAAACATACAAACGGACAAAGTAAAAGAACAAAAAAGAACATGAAGATTTGAAGACTACAATGGCCTCCTTGCTAAAATTTTCTCCAGTAGTTTTTTTTTTCCTTAAGTTCCTTATTCTAGAGAGATAATGCGATTCAGTTATGCGCATGTTACGGGGGATTCCAATTTGTTATGCTTAGTTAGTGATGCGCAAGTGGCTAATGAAAGGTTGTATTTAAAGTAGGGGTCCGCTGCAATATCCATCATTGTAGTGTTTAAATAAGTTGATTTGCCGGTTTATAGAGGAATTTCCTATACAACTGAATTAAATGCCAACAAAAAATGCTAAATGAAATGTAAGGTAATAATTCATTGATAAAATGTAAAGATAAGATGTGTTAAAGTAAAATTGGCAAGCTTAACTTAGTCTAGCAAAAATTAACATAGTGGAAAGTCACTGTTATTCACTGATCATATCAAGCTAATTATAATGATCATCAGATTAAGCCACTTTTCCTAAAATCCGTCTTGAAAATTATTTCCAGTTGAATGTTAGGAAAAGTGGCTAAATCTGATGAACATCGCTTAAACGGTTAAGTACTGTTTCAAAAACGGGCGGAAGTGTATTATCAAGTTTAAAAACTCGAGGCGAAGCCGATAATTTTTAAACCTGATAATACAGGACTGCAAGTTTTTTTGAACGGCTTCAAAATCTCTCTTCTTGAACTAATTTCAGATTCGGGGTTATTTTGGTCTAAAAATTGGACATTCATTAATTTATTTTGTTTTTTTTTTCTTTATGAATTATTAAACAAATGAGTTTTTGAAGGTAAATTTAAAATACCTTCCGTCCACTTTAACCGGCTAACATATATTTACTTGTACTGCGCAAATTTGGATAGTGCGGATAGCAATTGAAACGCCATCATGTCAAACTGAATCGAGAATTAAAACATAAAGAAAACAGCCGGAAAATGATTGGCTTGGGAAAAAGTAAAGTTTTAATTAGTTTCTTTACACTATGAGGCTCTAGTGTCATAATGCTCTATCAGTAAGGCGAGACTTTTTAACTAACGCTTTCTACAGATTCCACTTAAGTGCAAACAGAGTATAAAAATTCCACAACCATACAATCGCTCCGAGAAGTCACAAAAGGAGACCGAAAAATGTACGCAGGTCACGTTGTATTTAAGTAAAATTACGCCGTTTATCGGATCAAAATAATAACGAAATAAAATAGGACGTTAATATCATGAAACTTGATAACAAATCTAATAATAACAATAATATTATTATTAATAATAATAACAATAATAATAATAATAATAATACATATGTTTATTGCAGTTCTTATCTGGGTAAAACGTTTGCATAGAAATTATCTGACCATCACTATTACTCGTCACGTATGTGTCACTCATGTGTCACGGATGCTTGACATTTTATTCACGCGATTTATCCACGACAAGTCATCTGTTGTCTTTATATGAAAAATCCACCTCTGGCCCTTCCATTTGCTCTGTGGGTGACTGTACCAGGATTTAAGGGAGCTATATTACGGTGAGTTCCACATTTTTTGGTCAAAGCTGGGGCGAAATTATAACGAGTACTCTCGGTCATCTTTTGTCGTACTTGGAATGCTGGGAATTAAACGATTCTACCATTCAGGAAAAACAAAGCATTGAATGTCGTGTGTATGGCAATATGCCTTTCTTGTGAAATGGGTTCATCTCGGCTAAGCTGAACTTTCATATTAGGTGTTACCCTCCAAAGTAAGTGCAAGTTCAGTCAACATGCAAGACTGAAATTAGTCAAAGCAAACAGATGTTTGCACGTTTTAAGGTCTCTTAGAAGGGAGCAATACTCCCAAGTAGAGACAGACCATTTATTTAACTCCTTAGTTCAACCGAATTTTACATATTGCCTTTCTGTGTATAGAGCCTCTGAATCAGATTTGAATATCATACAACTTTTTTTGGATCGCTGCCACAAGCACCGTTTTGTTTCTTCTCCCGTTTCTATTAAGGATATTTATATAGACAGGACTGCAAGATTTTAAAGGCTATTACCCCTGTAGATAACCATCCGCTAGGCTCGTATTTACCACCAACAAAGGAGAATAAATATAATCTGCGTAGAAAACAGTGTGCCCTCCCCAAGGTTAATACCGAACGATTTATGACATCTTATGTAAATAGACTGATTTTTAAACACAAGATGAGGTAGTTTCTAGGTAGTATTCTATCATCCATTTATAGTTTAACTACTTTAATTTTTAGGGTAGATTTTTATTGAGTGCATGTATAGGCAACTGGAAAGTAGCAAAAGATATGTACTTTTATCTTCTGGTAATAAAGACTATTATTTATTCATTTATTTTATTTGTGCCCCTTGTACAGTCGAAACCCGCTTCATGGCCATTTAATACGGACACCTCATAATCACGGACAGTTTTCTTTGACCCCGGGGAAAGAAAGCCTTTATATTCTCGCTAAATTCAACCCCGCTTAATACAGTCACCCGTTGATGTGGACAACGGACACTTGTTTCCTGCCCAATCAACAGATTCTCATACAAAGTCAGCCTCGCTAATGCGGAAAATGTACTGTCAACTGTGTGCTGTAATAGCTAGGCCTTTCCTTTTGGAAGGTTAAACCCTCTAGTTGACATCACGTCAATGTTCCCCCAGTTCCAGAGCTACGGTAGACCGAGTTAACTGAGGATGAATTGTAACATTAAACTGATCAAACGAGTTATGTAAAGAACCGTGTTTTTTATTACGTAATGTTATATAATGAGCGACTTTTAGGCTTTTGAGTGTTTTCATTGACAAAGTCACTGACATTCCGCGGAATGAAGGCTTTCGTGAAAAGGCGAGAAAGGTATATAAAAGGGGCTCCTAAGTCGAGGAGGAAAGAAACGAAGAAACCGTTTCTAATTGATTCAGACGCCTAACTTTCCACGTACTTAATTCAGGTTATATCTATATACCATACTGGATTATAGCTTTTCATTTCGACATAAAAAGCTACCCGGTAGAGCATTACACCTATAGTGGCACAGAAATTTATCCTGTATGGGACACTTACAAGATCAGTGAGGCGCAACTTCAATTCGCTTTGTTACAGAAACCGCGGCGAAATTATCATTCTCGTGTGTGAACTGAGTTCCTATCCAGATAGGGTGGCGCAAAAACATATCTGATATGTGACGATCAAACTGAAAGGTGGATTTCCACTGTAGCGTAATTTTTACGCGCGTAAATAGAATAGAGACAATGTATGGAAGGTCACGGGTAAACGTAAAAGAAAGAACCTTGCTCAACTTATACGTTTACGCGTGATCTTTCATACATTGCCGTTTCATTTACGCGCGTACGCGGGTAAAAAAAAAAGCGACAGTGGAAATCAACCTTTACAGTCATCGTTGACCGTTATCCCAGGTGTATGTGTACAGAAGCTGTATCCGATACGACGTCCCTACCTGTCGAATGCACCATTCAGCATTTTGAAATCGATCAGGTCCGCAGCGTCCTGTTGCTGTTAAGGTCTAATAGTATCACCAGCAGATAAATAAAATTTGAATCGCGAACGGAAAATGCAATCTGCAAAATCACAAGCAACTTTCACAACCGTTTTAGCATGGACGAACAAAAAGTTACTCATTTGTTATTCAAAAGCAAGGTACTAAAGTGTACATAGACTGCGAGTAGTCGCTAAGATAGGCTGGGACCAGGATCCCCAGTGGAGGAAAAAGACAAAAAAAGGGGTCAAATAGGAAAAATATCGGCGAGAGAAGCAAGTCGAGCGGCACACCGTAATTTTTAGGGAGTTATTATAACTCCAAAAATGGAGTAAAAATTTTAGGTACAGGATAACCCCTTTTTTGGGGTTATTTTAACTCCTAATTTAACTCCGAATTTGGGGTCATTTTTACTCCTGAAAAAGAGTTCTTTTTACTCCCAGTCTTGGAGTTAAAATTACTCCGAAATGGGGTTACTTGTACTCCTTACAGGGGTTGTTTTTACTCTTTTGGAGTTAATTTAACTCTGAAAGTGGAGTAAAAATTTTAGGTACAGGATAACTCCTTTTTTGGGGTTATTTTAACTCCTCAATATCTGGGGTCACTTTTACTCCTGAAAAGAGTTCTTTAAACTCCTTTTTGGAGTTAAAATAACTCCACGAAAAATAACTCCACTGTAAGGAGTTAAATTAGCCCCACTAGAGGAGTTATTATAACTCCCTGAAAATTACAGTGTAGCCTGCTTCATAACCCCAATTACGCGTCCCCGTTTGTTATGAAACTTGAGAAATTGCTTGGCAGCCATCGTACAATTTCAGAAGAAGCAATCTGATACTTATACGTATTCCATCTTTTAGTATAATAAATATCATGAAATATTCAATAGCCTACAGAGGGGCAATTATATGGAACCGTTTACCAGAAGAGTGCCGCAAAGCAGTATCCCTCGGTAGTTGGTATTCATGAGCAGAATGCAATTAAGGATATTGATTTTAGTAACCTGTACAGTAAGAGTTAATTTTTAAAAGTATTTTAAGATTTTTTAGTGTTTAACTTATTTTAATCGAAAATTTGTATAATTATACATCCTATACACGACCCCTCAAGCTACTAAGCTTTAACTATCATCGTGTATAAATAAAGGTTTTGATTGATTGATTTGATTGTCAATGACAAAAACACATCATTTTGTCAAACAAATTTTCTCTCCCAAGAATTACAATGCATATCAAACGTTACAAACAACAAAAAATGAACTTTGAAAAATTGTTGGCTAACAAGTTTTCAAAAACCACAATTGCAATCCGTTTTGCTCTTCTTAAGTTTTCATCAGCACTTTCTTTTATTTTCGCTGTGTTATTTATACTGTACCTTCTTTTACTGTTTTAAGCGGTCATTTTTTATTTCACTCAGTTTGGTGGCATAGTTTCCACTGTTTGAATTCTTGGACCATTATACGTTTCTACGTAACTGCCTACCTACTCCTCCCCTAAGCCAACATTAACACCTGCTTCTCACTTAGGGCAAAATGTTGGCCTAGGGGAGGGGTAGGTGGGCAGTTTCCCTCCGTTACACAGCTCGTTTAAGTTAGAGTACGCTTTATAACTAAGTTTTGTACCTTCTGATCGTCATCACTTTTACGCCTTTCGTCTTTCTCAGTGGACGTTTCTTGCGGCCTCGCTGCTGGTCATCTTTGGATGTCTATTTAGCGTGTTCCAAACCCAAACGTCTCTTCTCAAACAGTCAACATATGCTCCTGTAATCGTGATGGGAAGCGGCATGTCCATCATGTACCTCATGACTTTAACATTTGCAACGGAACTTACTGGAGAAGATAAGGTAAGATGTTACTATAGCAATCACAAACTTCTCGAGGATGATCGCACTCTGCGAGCCAATTAGACTACGAGCAGTCTCTCTTTTTTTCTCAGTCCGTCGAGCGAAACGCGCGAGACACGAAAATGACACGCGCGAGACGGGAGAGGCGCGCGCGCGTGAACTGCCTTTACTAGATCTGAAGAAAGATAGAGACTGCTCGCAGTTTACGAGCAAATACTCGAGGGTCTCAATGGGGCCGTCAAACGACCTAAATTTCCACTTAATAATTGTCAACCGTCAAAAGTTACCACCCCTTTAACACCCTCATTGTCAGGGAAAACAGTCTAAAAACAGAAACTCACTTCCTTTGCTGCTGTTCCCGCCAGTAAAGGAATGTTCATGAATGGTACTTAGAACAATAGAATGTACAGACGTCGAACCTTCATGTGCGGGCTTGGCGTCTTCATGGTCCTCGGTACAGACAGATAAGCTCAGCGACTGCCCTAACAGTGGGTGGGTGGCCCAAGCCTGGGAGGCAAAACTAGTGGGGTAGAGAGGGGGTATTCTGACACAGCCCCTTCAGTAAGGAGCAGTGTTTACTAAAGGCTTTGACTGGCAAGTACATTGTTCTTACTTTGCCCGAGCCAACTGAACCAGGCCTCTGCTGACAACAATTATCATGATAATTGCAGAGCACAGAGGGAGGTGCAGACAGTTACCCAGTGTCCTGGGTGGGGAGGGTGAAATTCTTGGTAACAAGGACATGCTTAGCTGAGGACCTGTAGACACTCACTGAAGCCATGTTTACATCAATTTAGTCAGATATATATGTATAGTGTTACTATTTTTATTATAGCAGTACAAATGTCTGGATGCCCAGAGTAAAAAATGAAAGCTTTGGCTGTGTGGCAAACCATAACCAGCCGCAGCATCGACTAAAATTTGTAGTAACAATTACACAATAATTTGTGCAATTATTATTATTGATATTATTATTATTAGCTTCATTTAAAATATATCTGGATGCTATCTGAATGTATCATCCTCATTGCCACCACTACCACCACCATCATCATCATCATCATCATCATTTTCATCATACAGTGTGTATCATGATTATTTAATTTCCTTGTATTTTTTAATTCCTCATCAGGTTTGAGCGAAAGTGAATATGTACGCTACGTGTTTTTTTTTCTCCTAGGACTATTCACACTAATTGGTTCACTGATGGTTTTAGTTTCAAATGCATCAAACTTGTGTTTGTGTTCTGCAAAAGGAGGTTGGTGTTATGTACGTACAGCAACCCTCTGTATCAATTATACTTGGTAGTAGGTTGAGTTTGATCGTCCAGGTGAACTTAGTCGTGAATACATGTAGGACTGTTGTTGTTGACAGTAACTGATGTTCTGACAACCTTTGCGGTAGTCATCTTCTGAGTCAAGGTGAGTTGTAGCACGTCACTTGATGGTATTATACTCTGGTTATTGACCTGATTGGTCAATATTGGCCGTCTGTCAGTTAAGCCGTGATGTCATTGGTTATGAACACTCATCAAACTACTTTTGAAATGACTCCTGGGTTCAAACCTTTCACAGTTATACTTAGCAGCTTGTGAAAATAGCACTATCAACACTTTTAAGACTCTGCAAGTGAGCTTCTGTCGATGAGAGGTGTCTGTCTCAAAGGGTAAAGGGATGGAATGGGTATACTTCAACTCCCCCCCTCCCCTCCTCCCCACAGATGCCACAGGTCCACTTTTATGTTGACCAATAATTTGAAATGAAGTGGATGAATGAGAAAAATATTGTTTCATTCTTAACTCCACTGGTTGTGTAATAAACTACTGTTTACTATTAACTGTCATTACAGTATGTGGTCCTTGGTCCGCGGAAGTCCCCGATACCCTTGGTCCGCGTCTTTTCCGAAAATGATAAAATATTTCGTCAAGAAAAAAATTACGTTGAATAATGAAAGATATCGTGATTTACTGATTAGCATTCTTTCATATGACGAAGTTTCAGCTTTCTTGCTGCGGGTGAAGACGCGAAATTAAAGTTTGTTGACAGGTAGGTTAATTTGTCTTCCTTGAAGTTTGGAGTTTTGCGGCAACGTAAATTACATGGTCATGTTTACTTAGCCTGCGAATAACTAAAACGCAACGGGAAGACTTGCCTTTTGGCAGAACAGGTTTTCAGATCAACATATTTCTTCTGTTGGAAGCACATTGCTGTAGACTCTGAATTTTTTGTTTTAGCGACTGTTGAAAAATATCACCAAATTTCGCTTAGCGGACCTTGGTCCGCGGCCTACGACCTTGGCTGAATAAAACTTCCCAAAGTAAAAAGTGACGGCCTTTGTTTTCGAAGAATGTTTTGAAAGTCGTCCCTATACATGTCTACAAGTTCTCTTTTTTTAATACCTCGGATACATACAGAGTTTTTGGTAATTATTTTCGACCGCGCTAAAAACCGCTCGTCGACGCTCGTGTGGGAGACTCGAGGAGACTGTTGTCTGAAGTCTTTGAAAGAAAAGCAGATTATTTTATGCTCAAAACATCTTCCGAAAAAAACTTTAGCTTAATTGCATCAAGAAAAGGAAAAAAAATACAAGAAATACTGTGAAAATCACGTTTTCGAGTAGAAACTATAACCTTTTTACGTTTTTATCGTGCTGCTTACCTGAGACGCGGACCAAGGACCAGATCCGCGGACCAAGGACCATCGAAAACGGTCGCCTTTTTGCGAATTCCAAGCAAAATATTTATGTCTGGAACTGGAAACTTCAGGATTATCGACAGGAACATAAAAGCTATCTTCAGAGAGTATTTCAGCTCGTTACGTGAAGATTCGGGTAAGATATTCAAGTTAATGACTTTTACACGCGGACCAAGGACCACATACTGTACTACCAAAAAAATAATACACCAGAGATACTATTCCCACCCTTAATTTACATTACAATACCCGAGGGTGAATACCTGCTTATTCAGGAATGTTAGTGCCTCCATCATAAGTTTACTATGCATAGGCAATGTCATGTAGTTTAGCTATTATATAAAAATAATTACACCGTACGCGCGTGCTGATGTATAACATTTTCAGGCTGCACACTGCAGTCTGCATTTGTCATACACGGTACGCGTATGCATTGCGTCGTTAATGGCGAGAGAGTGGTATGAGAAAATGTATGGGTCTTCAATAAAAATTCAAAATACAATTACTCCGACTTGAGACATGTCCAGTAGTGATAAAGCTATACTTCTTATATAAAAACAAACGAAAAAGCCATCGGTATACTTACATGAACTTCCCGCGATGTTCGATGTTCGAGGCTCCAAAGTTATCACCGTGACTTCTAGTTTGGCTCAAAATATGGCGTAATTCATGCAAAATGTTGCCGATTTAAGGAACAATCAATCATTCGAGTGGTCAAGTAGCTCACACTTGCATTGAATCTGATTGAATACAGGGAAGTTCGATCTATAGCAAATCGGCCATACAAAAAAACAAAAACAAAAACAAACATTTCTTGTACCTCAAAGTGCGCTTGAAAATTCATATTTTGGTCGTCGAGTCTGTGATCTGAGACCACCTAGAAGCTAACAGTGAAACTCCAAACTACCGCGCGGCCATATTTATTTTTCTTATCCAGGTCCCCTCGTTCCAAAGAAGAAGCCTTGAATATATTTACTTTCTCGCGCGAAAATTGCACAATTAAAACACAATAATCATCAAATGCTGAAACACTAGACTGAAACTGAGGGTTTACCTTTTCCCCGAGTCTACTTCTTCTCTCGTTCCCCAATGTTGAGATTCGCGTACGTTTGAAAATGGGTGGGGTGCATGAATCAACATTGGCCATGCGTAGCGGGTCGTAACGTGACAAGTGTTTCAACAAATGTGACGAGTATTGAAGATCATCCAGGCAGCAATGAACAGTTTATTTTTCAAGTGCAATTAAGAAAAAACTCTTTTATTCAATGGATAGTATGCGTACATCAAGTACATCATTCCTCTCTGTAATTAATGCGAGCAGGATGCATGGATTACGAACGATTTTTATAATGGGAGTAGGACTCTGATTTTCTACATTCGTCACTGAATGTCTAAAAAATCATTCAGGCTACTAGCCACTTGACCTTGAAGCCGCCAAGATTTTTGAACGAAATTCCTTTTTCCCTCTTCTCTACATAAAGAAGGTCGGCAGTTCTTAGGCTCTTCCAGACTTTGTAGGGACTTGTCTCCTCCATTTCCTTGAAATTGTATAGCATCTCTAAAGTCTAGCATGTTGGGTAGTGGAGTCTAATTATAAGAGTTTATTTAATAAAGGATTGTAACTGAACAATAGAAATGACCATTTCAGCCACTTTTTAGTTGTCCCTCCGTAAAACAGAAAGAAAGAAAAAAAAACCCGTAAATTTACAAAGGTTAGAAATGAGCATTAAGAGAGTCGCCTGAAAGAAGCATGACGTCAGGATTTTAAGAATTTGTAAAGTACGGGATTCGTTGGGATCTTTCTAGACTGCGAGCAGTCTCTCTTCTGCTCGAAAATCTGTAAGAGCGCGTGCGCGATTGCACACTCTTATTATTGCGCCCGTTCTCACAGATTTTCGAGCAAAAGAGACTGCTAGCGATTTTTTAAAGGTCTTTCAAGAGAGAAATATAAAAAGAGTGTCGTTTTGCTAAAAATCAGTTCTTTCGTGCAAATAATTATGTTCTAAGCCAAATTTATAAGAATATGTTTGGTCAAATATATCTAAATTCACGAAGAAAAGTATCCGCGCTTTGTAGTCGTCAAATTCAGTTTTGGAAGCAAGGACCAACGTTACAAAAAAGGACCAGATTCAGCTATATGTTGAAATATTAACAAAAGAAGCATAGCTGATTTTGCAGTGGGGAATATATATTTTTTGTTACCAATATTTCAGAAGGCACGGCCCTCCTTCTTCAGGGTCTTCTCATACAAACACAATAATAAGTTTAAGCTAAGACGTTACAATTTGAAATAAAGGATAGCGTGCAATATGATACTATGATTAAAACGTAAAAATTTAAATAGGAAAAAGTGAACGTTGAAAGTATATGAAAACAAGAACCGTTGAAGTTGTGATATGAAAGAAATTTGAAATGTAAAAACAGTATTAAGAAAATAAATACAAGTGGAAGAAATAACGAATGTATTACATTTCATCTTTCTTATTAATACCTAAGGATTCAAGAGTTTTGCCTCTCTCGGTGAGGTATGATTCGCTAGCTTTTCGTTCACGTCAAGCTTGTCCAGCAAATCATATTACATACGGTTTAGTGCCAGAACAAATTGCAACAGAAAAAATACAACTGAGAGTTTTAAACGGTGGCAGGTCTCTCCAATTAAACCGCATTTCAACATTTTCTATCAGAATACTGGATCCCTAATCCCCTCGAAACACTATTGATCCCGATCCCGCGGCTTGTGACCTCAAGATCCTGGGCCTACATGTGTTCCCTGATCCCGCCCAATCTTTGGCCTTTGATCCCTGAACTCATAGAGCTCGTTACGTTACACTAAGGGACGTTTTCTTCGTGAATTCAGATATGTTTGACCAAACACTTTCTCTTTGCCTCAGATCATGAAACGTTATAGTGGAAGGATTTGTATGGGTGATTTTGTAAGGGCGTAATAATTATTGTAATACTACTAATATATCTCATATTATTTGTACGAACAGACCGGTTTTTAGAAAGATCCTAGACGCCAAATCCTCCTCCAGAGCCAACCGAAATTATCTGGGTTAAAATATTTTTTCAAATTGCCCGATCTTGCAAATAATGTAACAAAATTAGATAGCAACAGTACCATTTTGCACACTTCTATGCATCCAGATACATAGTTTCACGCAATTTATTTGAAAATACAACTTAACTTCTATACAATCCAACTTTTTTCTCCTTAAATCATTTTGTCTGTGTGTGGGTACCCATTACGAGTAAATAACACCGACAAACAAAGGCAGTGCCCGCTTCATTGCAACAAGACGACAAAGCCTGGCAACTGAATTTCGAAATCAAATGATCATTTTACTCGAAGGGACTAGGGCTATTCTTAAGACCAGCACCTTTTTGACCTAGAGGGGTTAATATCGCAAACAAAATGTTTTAACTGGAGAAATGAAAAATAAAACGTTTTTGTTTCCTCTCGTCAGGCGGCCAGTGATAATTGCAGGCACCTATGATGTCGCAATAGTGTGCAAAGTAGACATTGCGCAGTGCAAGACAAGGGTACGGATGGTTCGTCCGTGAAGTAAGGCTTTTCTTCATATCTTTGACTAATAATTAACAAATAGTTTTAGCCACTCTGAGAATAAATCGCCTTTATTATTATTATAATTATTATTATTATTATTATTTTTGTTGTTGTTATTATTATTATTATTTCTGCTGATTAACGTTCATTGCATTCGATCGCGGATTACGATACTACATTAATATACATAAAAGTCCTTGATATTCTACAACAGGACACTCTTAATAATGATCAGTAATAAGCCGAGAGTAGAAACAACTTCTCTTTTTATCATGGCCTTGGTTTCTTGGTTTAGACAGATAATTTCACGATTTTTACAAGTCCGTTGTCATTTGAGTTACCTCCACTCACGCCTGAACAATTCGAGCCACTACAGTAAGAGCCCCCTCCCCCTCCTGCTTGGTTTGGGTGTGTGCCGCTACCTCCCCCAGAGTATCCACCACCTCCTCCTGATGCACCATTATCCTCGGCTCCCCCTCCGCCACCGCCAAACCCTCCTACGGCCCCAGGCGGAGGCCCCCCGTTGTAGCCACTATTCATTCTTCCAGCACGACCACCAACCCAGCCCTGAGCACGCGATCCACCCCTCTCACCATGCTCGGACCCGGCCCTGGAACAACCTTGGCCTAACCATCCCGCACCCATTCCCCCATGCCAACTAGCGCCTGCAGTGTTACACTGACCAGGATTCCCTCCAGTTCCTCCGGTACGAACATAACCTAAAATCCTTCCAACGCTACTGGTGCCGCTAGTACCCGCCTGACCATCCTCCCCGATATACCCGCTGGATGCACCCCCTCCTCCTCCGGCAGCTAACAAAAGCACGTTACTTGTTGTATAAATAAAGCTCCCTCCGCCTCCCCCGGTACCAGCATTGTCCTCTACGGACAGTCCCAGCTGAGCTGCTGTCAAGGTAGTGGACTGTCCTCCTTTTACTTCCACTGAATCTCCTCCTCTTTGTCCCACCACAATATTCAGTACAGTTCCTTTATTCAAGGTAAACGTGCCCTCTTTGTATGCACCTTTTCCACCGTAGTAAGTTCCGGGATAACTTCCGTAGTTTGTGGAGTGCGTTCCTCCTCGTGCTCCCCAGGCTCTGATTCGATAGCGAGTGGTTTTTGGCACTGTGAAAGTCTGAATGCTGCCGGAACGCCCTTGTCCATTCGTTGTAAACGACCAAGAAGCTGATAATGACAATTTATTGTATTTAATAATATACATGAAAACATTTCTTGAATCTGATTGGCTGAGAGCAGTACATGTTTTAGTAAACTGAAAACACAGTGCAAAAAACGAGGAAAAATAATACAAAAAGAAGGAAACATAATGCAAATTTCTTAGAGAATGGAAAACTGTGATTGGCTAATAGACAATAAAAATATATAAGAACCAATCAAGTGCTGCCAGCTACTGGTATCCAAAGCTTTCAAACAAAGCCAGGCAAGTAATTTTTTTATGTTTATTATTAAAAAGTGATCATGCAACTTTTCTCATTCAATTTGGAATTTATTTGCATTCGTGCGTTTAAATTGTATTCGTCCTATGGGCTCATGCACTGAGTTTTGATACTTTTTGAAAAAAGACGTTCATGCAAATAAATTCCAAATTGAACTTGAAGTCGTATGATGACCTACACTAATATTTGCGGTCTAAATTATATTTAAAATAATTAAAAAGTAATATCAAAACCCATCAGTTGATAATCAGTTAGGGTGATAATCAGAACTGAAGTGAGGGCTTCATTGTGGCAGACGAAACTTAATGGCCGGTGGCTGTTTGCGAGGAGTTAGCATATGCGTGAAATCAAGGCTGTAGAGGTTACAGTTTCTTCTCGCTGAGATCATCCCTCGACACAACAGACCAGACTGATTGTGATCAAGGACTTTTTAAAGCGATGTTACTCGAGAAGATTTGCAACGACAATTTTTATGGCGACAATGTTGCAAGATCAGAAATGCTGCAACGCTGTGTTGCGCTAAAAATCGTCGTTGCGAATAGTCCCATGTAACATTGCCTTTACAAAGGGAATCAATGCCTCCTTAATGATATCACCATTGTCTTAAAGATAAACACTTCAGTCAAAGAATTAGAAAAGGTATCAATTGTCAAGAGATATTGGAATTGAATCAGGAATATTCCGCGACACTGAAAGACGCCGACAATTCCAGTCGTTATAATTGTCTTAAAATGAGAAAATAGAGACTTCACAACGACTATCGTCTTACCGGGCAGCATCAGAAATGATTAAATAACTGAATTGTCATGGAATTTTTGCTTGTTTTTTTTTAATTTTTATAATTTTTTTATTATTATTATTTTTTGGTGGGTGGGTGGGTGGGGGGGGGGGGGATCAAATATGAGAGCTACTGATTGGTGTGTATGCAGGGTAATGGATGTAGCAGAACGATTTTTATAGATTCCAAGGTTTTGTTAGGATGGTCAAATAGGCAAAGGCAAATAAACAATTGGGCTGGATTGATGATTTTGTTGATAAGCATTTACAATGGAAGAAGTTTACGTTCACAGATGTCCAAGATTTTGATTCATTGAATATACGGATATCATCGAGACAAAATAAAGAATGGTTATTGAACTTCGAGTCGTGCAATTTGGTCTGAAATCATACGCGTGATTTTAAAATCGGACAAGCGCGCAGCGCGAGTTCGATTTGAAGTCACAATTGTGATTTCAGACCAAAATTGCACGACACGAAGTTCAGTTACCACTTTATTACAGCCATTTTGAAATCGCAGAATTCAGTCAGTACCAATATTTATTTGACCTTGTAGCCGGTTTGTTGAAAGCGGGACGAGAAGGCTTTTACATCTCTTTTTGTACCCGAAAGAGAAATGATGCAATATAAAAGCAAAAATGGTGCGATAAAAAACAAAAAAGACGCAATTTAGAACATGAACGACGCGATTTAGAGCAAAAAGATGGTGTGATTCGTGAATAAATCAAAGCCTAAAGTGAGTGTCTAAAGCTCCTATGCTAAGAGCGTCCTTGGTACCAAGACTTTGACCCTCTCCACCCAGGACAATGGGTGACCGTCTACACCTCCCACTGAGCACCGCAATTATCATGATAATCATTCTCAGCAGAGGCCTGATTCAGCTGGCTTGGGTAAACTAAGACCAAGGTACTCGCCAGTCAAAGCCTGCACTGAACACTGCTGTTTACTGAAGGGGTTGTGTCAAAACAGCCCCCTCCCTACCCCACTAGTTTTGACCCCAAGGCCGGATCCACCCGCCCACTGTTAGGGCAGTCCGTGGGCTATCCACCTGTACCGACCAAGACGTCAAGCCCCCAACATTTTTGGGCACCGGGCTGGCCTGGAGCCGGGCTTCGCCCGGCGCCAGGCGAAAACCCAGTGACCACGTTTTAACGAAATCAGACAGATATATGTTGTCTGTGTTTTAACATGGTCTCTTTTAGGGGTCAAAAAAAGCTTGGGCCCCGCCCAGATCGGTCTCCTTTATGGGTTTAATTCCAAATTTCCGACGAGCATCCCCACCCCTTCCATATGCGGAGTCTCCCTCCCCCCCCGGGGGTTGCAGTTTGCTTACTTAATTGAATTACGAGAATAAAGATAACCTGTTTTTGCTGATTACAGAGAGATACGACTAAATCGGATTGAAACAGTAAGAAGAAACAATATACTTCCAAATGAGTGCAAATGGTCTAGGTTTTAACGGCCCGTAGTAGCTGTTAACGATCGTTAAAAAACCTGAATAACAGTGTCGAAAATTTGCATATTTTAGCCGGTAACGGTCGTTCAAAGATGAAATGCTGAGAATGGCAGTAAAATAAACTATTTCCTCATTCTAACTGCAATTTAGTTATAAGGATGGATAGTAGTATTGATGATATAAATACAAGGCAAAAGTGTTTTCGAGTCTGAAATCGAGTGGAACGCTCAAACTGCTCGGTAATCGAACTTTATCGAACTCAATCGAACCTAATCGAACCGGTCAGTATAAAACACGGACTGCAGACTGCGGACCACGGACTGTGGACTGCTTATAAAACACGGACTAGGTATAAGATGCAGAATAGAAACTACGGACTGAGTATAAAACACGGACTACGGACTGTGTATATAAAAACAGCTTTTAAGTTCGCTCATAGTTGCAGTCGAGGTAGGTGAAGCAACAACTGAAAAGATGCGTCACCGGCGGGGAGAATAAAAGAAAACAGAGCCCTGTAACATCTCGTCTATTTGATAATCAAGTGCCCCGGCCTCCCTTCACGCACTCAAAATTTGCAAAGACGTCTTCTTTTAAAATTTCAAAATAGGTGACAGTGCACCCTTTAGTCAAAAAACTTACCACAAGGACATGACCCTGCTGTCAAGGAGAAGTCGTCAATTGCTATGTCACCAGTGTAACTGCTTCCCACTACGCCTTCAAATGTTACCTGTCAAATGTGCAATCAGTCCGGAAGAGTCGCTGTTGTTATTAATGTCTTGAAATTAATGAAAAATTATCTTCGAATTTGTCAAAAAACTACAAACTTAACAACAGAAATAAGGAAATGTCGGCTAATAGCAAAACAGATCCTCTTGGAAACACCAAGCGCATCATATTTTGCACTACATTTACGTACTTACTTGCACCACTATGAGTAAGAAAGAATAATCTTGCTATGACTAAATAATGTTACCAAATGGTACATCACTTATATTTCATGTGTGCTTAATTCATAATTAATGATAAAGATGAAGTATTAAAACGGATGCAGTCTTGTCGACTTTTTTAGTTTTTCATTACAGACCGAAGTACAGAAACTTATGGCTAAAGTAAGATTCGCAGAACATAGACCCGAGAACCGAAAGACGTCTTCTACATGGATGGTGGACCTGCGCACCCTTCAGATCAGAAAAGTCTTGTTATTGAAGGTGCTTTCAGTAAAACTGAAATTACTACCACTTAAGGATCGCAGATAGGAATCTACGTAGTTTGTAAAAATTTAACTAAATAACAGCGAATGATGGCCAGGATTGGTGTAAACTGTCAGTTGTAAACATTTGTAACATACTTTCAACGGTGAGCACAAGTTCGGAACCCTTTATTAAAAAATTCCCGGACCCGCTGCTGTATGGCAATTAAATTAACAAAAAAAGTGAGCTATTGGTGGCTTATGGCTCCCAACCCGGTTGGCTTCCCCAATTACCGCTCTCAGAGAACAGCGTTTTACCACCATTGATGGGGTCATTAAAGTTTAAATTCTAATTTTACTTTCAATATTTTCATTATCCTAATTCATTGTTAAGCAATGAGTTGATAAAAATAAAGATTCTGTTGTTGTTATTGTTGTCGTTAGAAGAGACACAAAAATAACGCATGGCTTACCCTATGCAATCCCTCGATAGCTGATACATTTACGCAGGCTTTACGCCACATGCCTCCTTTATCACCACGTGCAAAGAACACTAAGTTCCCACTTACGTTGACTTTCAGGCTTTCAGTAGTTGCACCAGACATATGGTAATAGAACTGAAGGCACATATTCCCAAAGAATTTCAGTGGAGGACTGTACAATTTTGCGTTATCACCTGGTTGTCTTGGACTGGATGCTTCTATATACATGTAATAACCTTATAGGGATGAAGATGGTTAGAGTGTAGCAACTTAGTCTTTTTCGGTAGAGGACGGCCCGATTTTTTCATATCGTCTAGCTCTCCTGTGGACTAAATATTTCTAAAAAATGCACATGTAATAACCTACAAAGAGGAAAAACTGTAAGGAAAGCAACAGGCAAAACAAATTGACCAGAAGGCACTGAAAAAGTGTCCAGTTGACTTAAAATTACAGTATTCCAACAACGTTAGTTCAGCTTAAATGACGTAGAATGATCCTATAAGTAAGTTCCCAAGTTTCTTTTTATTCGTTTTATTATTTTTTTTAAAGACAGACGTATTATATTCATGGTAGAATAAGAGGGCAAATGACAACAAAGCCAACGGATGTAAAGAGTAACTGCAACGTTGTAGTTGCACCGATCCGAAGACGCAGTCGAAATTAGATACTCTCGCCTATATTTAATACACCTGTTCAACGTACAAGCAACAAAAAAAAAGAAACAAAAACGAGCAGTTTAATCTAAGAAAACAACAGCAACAACAAAAAAAGAGTAGAAAAGAGTGACATGTAATTAAATTTGCAATTAAGACTAAAACTAGCGATATTTTCAAGCAAAAAATGAAGTAGAAATGCCGACCAACTGACTTCTTAATTTGTTAAACGTTACAATTCTCGTTGCTAATAGCACGGCTAGTTAGATGTACTGATGAATTGGTTTAGAGCTTACCTGTCATGTTTCCTGTGGTGTGATCAAAGGAGGGTCCTGTTTCATCAGAAGGCGTGCTTCCTTTGTGTCGAGTCCAGTTAAAAATGTCATCTTTGCCTTGCACGAAACCGCACAATGAAACATCAAAGTTGCATATTATTTCTAAGTTAAACAAAACAAATGAATTCTCTTATTAAAAGTTGCGCCTTTTTTTCCCGGGGTCAACGATCACCTCAAAGGCATGATACGATCCTAGAAAGTACAATTACACAGGCTGACCACGAGTTAGTTAACAGCGGTGAGGCTTAAATGCAAGCGTAATCAGGGAACGTGGTCTCCAAGTAATATTGGCATTCAGGTCTTCTAAATTGACTAGAAAAGCATCCAAGAATGGCTCGGCTGCTATATTTTCTAGGAGGAGAGGTGCATCGTTTCCAAAATAATTGCGTTGAAGGGCTTAACTGCGGGCTTTATTTATTTATTTACTTATTTTTTGCTTCCTGCGACCGAGGGGGCCTTCGGAGGCCTCCCTCTATAACTTCAAATGCGTTCGTGATAGGCAACTAAAAATTACACAGAATAATGTACCAGGAGCCTGTGGTAATGTACCCACCATTTTCAACATGGAGGCATAATTTGATTGACACGGTGACGTAATCTGACGTCATTATGACGCCATATTGTTAAGTTTTTTTGGCAGAGGTCAAATTCTACCATTTTTTCTCCTCAAAGCGAAAAATACTTAAATTGAAAGGTAACTGACAAAAAAAAAGTTGGCTGCACAATTTTTATTCTGCTTTCAGTGAAATCACGATGACGTCATTTATTGTAAACAAAGATCTGGAACCATCCGCCATCTTGGGTCCGCCATTTATTAATCAATTAATTAAATGTATATCCATTTTACTTAAAACCCGAGTAAATCGAAAAAATCCTGATGGAAGAAATGATCTGCGTAAATTTTGAATTTTGTGGTTAGCTGCTGCGAGTCCTCAGGAACTACGTATCCGATTCTTGTCAGTAACTGTTTGTGTTATGGCTTGAAAGGAGTGGCGCGGTAATTCCAAGATATTTGAGGAAGAAGGGCTTAGTAGAACGTTTCTCAGGAAGATGCGATTGTTTCTTTTTACTTTCTATAACATAAACTAGAATTTTATCTCTTCTTTAGTCGAAATTTCAAAATTCGATCCATTCTGTCGTATATATTCTGTTTTCACACCATAAAGCAAAAGCAGTTGTTCGAAGTTCAAGTAAAGTTTATTTTCTTACTTATGAAGAAGCAAATTACGAAACGTCACAGACGGCCTTTCCGGGAGACAGGTACCTAGCAATATTAACACAAATTCCTTGCTGGTGGCAAGCAAGGCTGCTATTGCTACGAGACATTTATTTGAGATGGGACAAAAAATCACAAAGATTAAAGAATTAGATTCCCGATCCAATATAAAAAAGTAAAATATTACTGTTATCATGACAGTGTAACTTGTGGCCTTATACGAATTTCTTTCCAGCTGAGTATAAATACAAGACATATGTTTATGGCGATTGTGGCTCATTGGCTTTGTTTGCATTAATCGCGCTGGCCGCCGGTTTTACGATTTATCACCGATTCCAAATTTAATTGTACTTCCTTCTAGAAGTGAGTCATACCATAACACTGGTGACCATCTCCCGTGAATCCTGGCTGACAGCTGCAATTAAACTGTCCAGGGGTATTTATGCAAGTTGCATTTTGGTGGCAATCATGGCTACCGTTGCTGCATTCATCGATATCTAATTTTAAAAAGGGTAAAAAATGTATTCTAAGACATAATTCAAGATCGACATAAACTTTCAGATCAATTGAAAATCGGGCAATATTATACCATCACACTGGCGGCCATTTCCTGCAAATCCTGACTGACAACTGCAATTAAAGCGTCCAGCGGTATTTGCACAAGTTGCATTTTGGTGGCAATCATGGCTACCGTTGCTGCATTCATCGATATCTAATTAAAGAGAAGGGTAAAAAAAATGTAAAACATAATTCAAGATCGACATAAACTTTCAGATCAATTAAAAATCGGGCAATATTATACCATGACATTGGCGGCCATTTCCTGCAAATCCTGACTGACAACTGCAATTAAAGCGTCCAGCGGTATTTGCACAAGTTGCATTTTGGTGGCAATCATGGCTACCGTTGCTGCATTCATCGATATCTAATTAAAACGGAAGGGTAAAAAAATGTAAAACATAATTCAAGATCGGCATAAACTTTCAGATCAATTAAAAATCGGGCAATATTATACCATGACATTGGCGGCCATTTCCTGCAAATCCTGACTGACAACTGCAATTAAAGCGTCCAGCGGTATTTGCACAAGTTGCATTTTGGTGGCAATCATGGCTACCGTTGCTGCATTCGTCAATATCTAATTAAAGAGAAGGGTAAAAAAATGTATTCTAAGACATAATTCAAGATCGACATAAACTTTCAGATCAATTGAAAATCGGGCAATATTATACCATCACATTGGCGGCCATTTCCTGCAAATCCTGACTGACAACTGCAATTAAAGCGACCAGCAGTATTTGCACAAGTTGCATTTTGGTGGCAATCATGGCTACCGTTGCTGCATTCATCGATATCTAATTAAAACGGAAGGGTAAAAAAATGTAAAACATAATTCAAGATCGACATAAACTTTCAGATCAATTAAAAATCGGGCAATATTATACCATGACATTGGCGGCCATTTCCTGCAAATCCTGACTGACAACTGCAATTAAAGCGTCCAGCGGTATTTGCACAAGTTGCATTTTGGTGGCAATCATGGCTACCGTTGCTGCATTCATCGATATCTAATTAAAACGGAAGGGTAAAAAAATGTAAAACATAATTCAAGATCGGCATAAACTTTCAGATCAATTAAAAATCGGGCAATATTATACCATGACATTGGCGGCCATTTCCTGCAAATCCTGACTGACAACTGCAATTAAAGCGTCCAGCGGTATTTGCACAAGTTGCATTTTGGTGGCAATCATGGCTACCGTTGCTGCATTCGTCAATATCTAATTAAAGAGAAGGGTAAAAAAATGTATTCTAAGACATAATTCAAGATCGACATAAACTTTCAGATCAATTGAAAATCGGGCAATATTATACCATCACATTGGCGGCCATTTCCTGCAAATCCTGACTGACAACTGCAATTAAAGCGACCAGCAGTATTTGCACAAGTTGCATTTTGGTGGCAATCATGGCTACCGTTGCTGCATTCATCGATATCTAATTAAAACGGAAGGGTAAAAAAATGTAAAACATAATTCAAGATCGACATAAACTTTCAGATCAATTAAAAATCGGGCAATATTATACCATGACATTGGCGGCCATTTCCTGCAAATCCTGACTGACAACTGCAATTAAAGCGTCCAGCGGTATTTGCACAAGTTGCATTTTGGTGGCAATCATGGCTACCGTTGCTGCATTCATCGATATCTAATTAAAACGGAAGGGTAAAAAAATGTAAAACATAATTCAAGATCGGCATAAACTTTCAGATCAATTAAAAATCGGGCAATATTATACCATGACATTGGCGGCCATTTCCTGCAAATCCTGACTGACAACTGCAATTAAAGCGTCCAGCGGTATTTGCACAAGTTGCATTTTGGTGGCAATCATGGCTACCGTTGCTGCATTCGTCAATATCTAATTAAAGAGAAGGGTAAAAAAATGTATTCTAAGACATAATTCAAGATCGACATAAACTTTCAGATCAATTGAAAATCGGGCAATATTATACCATCACATTGGCGGCCATTTCCTGCAAATCCTGACTGACAACTGCAATTAAAGCGACCAGCAGTATTTGCACAAGTTGCATTTTGGTGGCAATCATGGCTACCGTTGCTGCATTCATCGATATCTAATTAAAACGGAAGGGTAAAAAAATGTAAAACATAATTCAAGATCGACATAAACTTTCAGATCAATTAAAAATCGGGCAATATTATACCATGACATTGGCGGCCATTTCCTGCAAATCCTGAATGACAGCTGCAATTAAAGTGTCCAGCGGTATTTGCACAAGTTGCATTTTGGTGGCAATCATGGCTACCGTTGCTGCATTCATCGATATCTAATTAAAGAGAAGGGTAAAAAAATGTATTCTAAGACATAATTCAAGATCGACATAAACTTTCAGATCAATTGAAAATCGGGCAATATTATACCATCACATTGGCGGCCATTTCCTGCAAATCCTGACTGACAACTGCAATTAAAGCGACCAGCGGTATTTGTACAAGTTGCATTTTGGTGGCAATCATGGCTACCGTTGCTGCATTCATCGATATCTCATTGAAAAGAAGGGTAAAAAAATGTATTCTAAGACATAATTCAAGATCGACATAAACTTTTAGATAAATTGAAAATCGGTCAATATTATACCATGACATTGGCGGCCATTTCCTGCAAATCCTGACTGACAGCTGCAATTAAAGTGTCCAGCGGTATTTGCACAAGTTGCATGTTGGTGGCAATCATGGCTGCCGTTGCCGCAATCATCGATATCTGAATAGGATTAGTAAAAAAGAACAATTGGCAGAAGAAGTTCACGTAAACTAAATTTCCTCAATAAGAGAGATACAATTTACGAAATTAAGTGGACGTTTTTTTTGGAAAACTACAGCTGAGAGGAAAAGTGTCTGGCAATATTTACACAGGCTGCATACCGTTGAAAGCTTGTCTGCTATTGCTAGGAGACAGAAAAAAAAGAATGAAGTGTTTAAAAAAACGCGATTCTCAATCCATTATTAAGAAGTAAAATAAAAGGTATATTGTGACACTGCGTGAATTTTTCGCCGGGTTGCCTTTCTTTCATTTATATACAGATCATTGGAACTTTAGGAAAACTCGGACATTGTTTTTCCATGACATGTGCGGAATTTTGCGCCGGGTTGCCTTTCTTTGAAGTTTAAGTGCACTTCCTGCTAGAAGTGAGTCATACCATAACACTGGTGGCCATCTCCCGTGAATCCTGGTAGACAACTGCAATTAAAGTGTTCAGGGGTATTTATGCAAGTTGCATTTTGGTGGCAATCGTGGCGGCCGATGCTGCATTCGTCGATATCTATATAACATGTGGAGAAAACATTTTATAACATTAGGCCGGTTTCTGTATATTACAAATTTTAAATAAGCTACTCTTGCCCCACTGTATGGTTGAAGTGGGAACGCGAATTGTCTGTGTAGAAATTTTTGAACACTGTGTCAGGCGAGGCGTTAGGTTCGAACAAGGTCTGTGGGAAACGGTGGTACGATGGGTGCGCACATACCCTCCCATGGACCGCGTCCCGTCTGTTGGAGGGTTGGGTCTCGTCATGAACAAGTATTGGGGGAGAAACTAGGTACAGACAGTAAAGGAGACTCGAAAATAGAACACTTCAAACCTTATAGACCTAGCCTAATGGATAGTTAGATATAGTCACAGGGTGCAGAGGAATTATTTGTGATGGCAAGCGAACTGAAAATTTTACAGCCGATCGCACGAGTCGTCTCTGTTTAATGTACTATGAACTTGACCTAACAAACCGTCATGCGATCGTGCTACAAACCTGGTAAAATTTTATCTATTGCTCGGTGGGAACGAACGTCGCCCGGAGGACGACGACGCATTCGGAAAGGCTTTCCGAGCGAGGCACGAAGTGACGAGAAGAAAAAGAGACTTTATTATATGTTAGTCGTTGTTATTCGTCCGTAGTTATTACCTTCAGTGGTTTTCCGGAGCATTGCATAATATTTTACCAGGTTTATAAGACGAACGAATGACGGTTTGCTGGATTCTACAGTATAAAAACAAAGGCGATGCGTGGTACAAGGGTACAATGAACAATCAAGGTCACAAATAACTCCTCTGCGCCCTGTGATATAGTCTCCTAATAATAGTCTCCTGTAGCTTGGTGGTAGAGCATCTGGGCTATTAATTTTTTTAGGTTGAACAAAATTGAGAGAAAAGCAGAACACGTCTCCACAAATAATGGTCTAGTTTTGATTTTTAACACTTATATGTTTAGGCACTGAAAGTGTTTCCTGTAGTCTGTCGCTACGGATGGAAAGAACAGGAACATGGATTGAAACTTGAAGTTGGGTCAACGTTTTAAGTATTAATGCTTAAGGCCTGCAAAAATCACCAAAAAATTATTATCATGGATATTGCTTCCCAATGATTTGTCTGATATTTTCTTCATAACTCTAACAGGACCATTTTGTATGTGACTGAAAATGAATTTAGAGCAAAATTGACCTGAAACAGTCATGTCCTCGTGACGTAACCCCTTTAACACGATCACTTCCGGTTAAAATCACGACTGCATTTTTCTGGCCCGAACAAAAGTCCTTGGATGCATTTCTTTAGTTTACACAGAGGTCTCTCACGTCGAAGCGTCGTGAGAGACCTCTGCTAGCAGGGAAGGTTATTACAACCAACGGCCAGCAATTTTTGGGATTTACCATTGCTTTTTTTGAAAAGTTATCTCGTTAATAAGACTGAAATCATGAAAAGTCGAACGCTCATTGAAACCGGGCGGCAAGCGTCTGAAGCAATCAATCTAACAAACGGTGACGACTTGCTATAATATTGATATTCGTTAATTTAACGTTAGAATAATATGTGCGATACTCAGAAGTTTGTCATCACACAGTGAATTAAGTGGGCTTAAGCTACACGGTTTATAAGAAGATCGTGCATAAAAAAATAAAAATGTTGTCAAATCAACTCGGTTTCCACTGCACAATTAAGAATTATTGTAAGTGTGAAAGCAGACACCTCGGTGATGTTACGTAGTGAAAAGTGTTATATGAGAGGACACAAAGGGCTTGCACTGTAAGTATCCCGGAAAGCTCCATACAATTACTTATAATTTTATTGTAAGGAATTGTATCGGGGCTCTCACAGGGAAACCGAACACTGTATTAGCTAATGGAATAATTAGATCCCTAGTGCGTGCACGTAAATGGACCTTGCGGCTCGTAATGAGTTTTATTGCTACCACAAGTAAACGCCTTGACTACGTATGTCCGGCCGCAAACCGAACTTGGCAAAGGCTCACTATTATTTCTTGTGATCTAACATATAAAAATTTCATATATCCCATGATGCTTCACGGCTAATTTCTATCTTCTCTTCGCGGCTAAAAGAGCGTTCGAGGGTTTCAAGGGAGATTTTTAATGGGCTGAATTTCGAGATGGAGCTCCTCCAAGGTAAGTTTTAATGTGCTCTGTTAATCCTTGGTGTCTGATTGATAATTTAAAATGTTTCCTTGGTCATTTCACGCATTATTGCTCTCGTTTAGGACTCTGTTAAATCAAGCTGTTTTAACATGCTCGCAAGTGAATGCTTATTTAGATGACCTACAATTATCGAAAACTGTCTTTATTTTAGCGAAGTTTTGCTGCAATAAATTTTTCATATCGGCGGACAAGGGGTGCTTGATACTATATCTAGTTCCACACTAAGACCCCTTTCGACCTCGCGATTTTTATGGGTTTGACCGTTTTGAAATATCGCGTTTTCTGCCCTTTCTCAGCTAGAATGCTAGTCGACGGTGTCAATTTCTCTATGCTAAGCCCTGCGAAGATGGGGCATTTTTTCTTGAGTTCGCTCTTTTTTCGCTTATCGAAATACATATATTAGCCCACGAAGATATGATGAATGTGTAATTTCAATGGTTTCTAGTATTAAAACGTTTTTGTTTCATTTTAGGTAAAATTGTTTTCTCATTGTGCCTTCCGGTCGCAAACGCGCGTGGCGAACTTGAAATGTACAGGGCCAGCAAATTTCATGGAACGGCATGCCGTAGGACCTCAACCGGCGTGTAAAACCTTTGAAGACATTTTGATCGTTCTTTTAGGATCTATTGCATCGTAGTAGTGGGTGTTTTTGTGCAAGTATTTTGCCATTTCTTTAATAAAGCTTATTTATGTTCATGTTTGATAATGATGCTTAACCGGTGTTGTGTTACGAACAACATAAAGATGTCTTTTTAATTGTTATTGTTTTTATTTGAGCGTTTCCCTTCCTTTGAATTTTATCTCCGATAAACGTCTTTTTTGTTCTTTGATGATCTTGGTATTTTCGACTGCATAAGCCGAGCTTGTTGAGGTAATCGCATGTACTGTCACTGTACGGTTAATGTATTCACTGCATCGATGAATTATTGAACGGACAATGAGCAGAGCACCGCGATCACAAACAAGAAACAAAAAAGAAACCGTACACAAACAACAGATATTCATTTCAAGACAAGCACGTGGAAATCGCTTGTGAATCCATGGAGAGCTTTATCAACACACGTCAAAACAAGACGCACTGAAGCAAAGATCTTACTCGCTAGCTTCAAGGAGCATCTGCGTAGACTGCCTTGTAATCGGACGGCAAGTTAGTCAATATTGACGGCCAAAACACTCCCTTTGCCTTAACAAAAGATATATTTGGAATAGTAAAACGAAAATCGTAAAAAGATCGATACAGAGGGTTGCATCAGCGAAACACGTCGCTTCCCAATGTTGTTCAACTGTCGCGTCCCTGTTGAACTGATAGGATCACGTGCGTTGGGAAGCTTGATAATATAGTATGAAGCGATGCATCATGGGATATATGAAATTCCCCCCTTTATATGAGCGTGATACCTATTTCCTTAACATATCCCACATTAACTACCCTATTATTATTTACCGCGCATAAACCGATTACAATCAAAACCACTAAGGTTGATAAATTAACAAACCGAGTCAATTCTATTACCGTAAAATTCCGAAGCTTATATTTTTCAAAGGCCCTTTTTGAGGGGCTTATTTTTGGAGGGGCTTATATTCGGGGGGCCTTATCTACGGAGGGAAATTTGCGTTTCAAAATCGATTGGGCTAGCCTTATAGTTGGAGTAAATTTACCGTTTTTGCTTTGTTTTACTTTGTATTTGAGGGGGCTTATATTTGGAGGGGCGATTTAACGGAGGGTTTTTTGCGTTACCGGTTTCGGGGGCTTATATTTGGAGGGGCTTATACACGGAGGGGCTTATTTTCGGAATTTTACGGTATTCGTCATAGGATGTGGTTATACGCCTAAGATAAATTTCTACTTGCAAGGCAAAATCAACTGCTCAACTATTACGAAAAATAATACTAATAACTTGTTACAACATTCTTTACTGATTTTGAGAAAAAAAAAAAAAAAAAAAAAACGACTGTTTTGCAGTCTACTAAAAGGTGGAATCAACGTGGGACGAACGTTGTGATTCTTTCAGAAGCCTTTTAATTTATTCTGGCGCGAAATGAAGATTTTATGATACTGAAATCTA